TATATGTATATATATATATATACATATATATATGCGCATATATTTTTCCCTTTTGTAAGTAATTACTATGATAATTGATATGTAGTGAAACTGGCATGGATTTAAAACTAGATGGAATGGCTTTTATTTCTGGCAAGAAAAGGCATAGTCTAATATTAAAGATTCTGGCCCAGGTCACCATACAAGGGTTTAAGTTCAAGCTCTTCCGTTAATGAACTATGTAACTATAGGCAAATCAGGAAGGGGCTTCATGCCGCAGTTTCCCCATCTCTGAAATGGAAATAGTAATACTTAATCTCACTAACAGGATCGTTGTGAGGAAAATGACAGCATGATTGCAAAAGTGCTTTGAAAAGTAAAAAGCTATACAAAGTATTATTTATATGGGTCATAAAAATTTTTCGAGGGTAGAAAGGTTATTTCACTTATTACTAAGTGAAATATAAGGACACTAAGTACCTGTCTTGGTCAAGTTTATAGCAAAAATACATGTACCTTTTTTTGTTTATTTAAGCATGCTCTGCATTTTAAAGGAACACTGCTGTAGAAGACTTTACACCAAGTTCTCTGAAAGCTGAAATACCATTGTTCCGTAATATATGCTTAAAGCAATCTGCCCAATGCAATAACCAAGCTTCAAGTTATCATAAAAAATAACTTACCATTGATAACCTGGAAGGCAGAGTGTCTGTGAGTGGTTGATGTTTATGGATCACACAATGGAAGTTTTAGTGACATCCAAAAATAGTGCTGAAACTGATGCATTTGAAAGAGCTGTAGAAATAATGCAAATCTTTGGTTTCATAAGAATCTCTTCATGTTTTAGAAGTATTTAACTCTGTAGAACCACAATTACGGAAAGCTCAGTAATGCTGCTAATGATATTTGTAAAATACACATTTAATGTAGTGCAATATTTTTATATATTCTGAAGAGGTGATTAGAGGCATCACAGTTGTGCTTTAGTGCCAGGGGAGAAGACTCAAATAGCCTAAGGTATAGTAAGATATAAAGCTTCAGTGAAAAAATTGTAATGTATTACATTCCTGATGTAATCTTGCTGCCATGCTATGTTATCAATAGCTTAAAAAAAAATAAAGACTACCACAGAAAACAAGAATATCTTCATTTTGATGACATCTAGAAAAAGGTGATGGCCGCTGCATATTTATGGAAATATCGCCTGGTATAATTTAGCCATGCAAATAAGCTAAACAGAGTACACCTTTGCTAAACAAAATTGCTGTTTTGCAAACTGTCTAAAAGCATTAAATTTTTTTTCACTGTTATTTCCTTAACCTGTGTAATATTGGATTTATGGATTTACCTCTGTTATGTATAGTGATTGTCATTAAGTAACGTGGAGTCGTTTCCAGTTCATAGCAACTCTGTATAAAACAAAACAGTGCCTGGTCCTGTGCCATCCTCACAATCATTGCTGTGTTTGAGCCCATTGTTGCAGCCACTGTGTGAGTACATCTTATTGGGGTCTTCCTCATTTTCGCTGACCCTCTACCAAGCATGATGTCTTTCTCCAGGGGCTAGTCCCTCCTAATAATATGTCCAAAGTTTGTGAGATGAAATCTTAGCATCCTTGCTTCTAAGGAGCATTCTGGCTGTACTTCTCAATACAGGTTTGTTCGTTCTTCTGACAGTCAATGGTATATTCAGTATTCTTCGCCAACACCGTAATTCACATGCACCAATTCTTCTTCGGTCTTCCTTATTCATTATCTAGCTTTCACATGCATATAAGGTGATTGAAAATACCATGACTTGGGTCCGGTGCACCTTAGTCCTCAAGATGGGATATCTTTGCCTTTTAACACTTTAAAGAGGTCTTTTGCAGCAGATTTGCCCAATGCAATGTGTCGTTTGATTTCCTGACTGCTACTTTCATGGGCGTTCATTGTGGATCCAAGTAAAATGAAATCCTTGACAACTTCAACATTTTCTCCATTTATCAAGATATTGCTTATTGGTTTAGTTGTGAGGACTTTTGTTTTCTTTATGTTGAGGTGTTATCCATACTGAAGGCTGTAGTCTTTAATCTACATCAGTAAATGCTTCAAGTCTTCTTCATTTTCAGCAAAGAAGGTTGTGACATCTGCTCTATCACAGGTTGTTAATGCATCTTCCTCCAATCCTGATGCTGCATTCTTCGTATCGTCCAGCTTCTCAGATTATTTGCTTAGCATACAGATTGAATAAATATGGTGAAAGGATAAAACCCTGACACCTTCCCGATTTTAAACCATACAGTATCCCCTTGTATTGTTCGAACAACTGCCTTTTGGTCTATGTACAGGTTCTGCATGAGCACATTTAGGTGTTCTGAAATTCCCATTCTTTGTAATGTTATCCATAATTTGTTATGATCCACACAGTGAAATGCTTTTGCATAGTCAATAAAACACAAGTAAACATCTTTCTGGTATCATCTGCTTTCAGCCAAGGTCCATCTGACATCAGCAGCGATATCCCTCATTCCACATCCTCTTCTGAATCCAACTAGAATGTCTGGCAGTTCCCTGTTGATATAGTGCTGCAACCATTTTGAATTATCTTCAGCAAAATTTTACTTGTGTGTGATATTAATGATATTGTTCAATAATTTCTGCATTCTGTTGGTTCACCTTTCTTTGGAATGGGCACAAATATGGATCTCTTGCAGTTGGTTGGCCAGATAGCTGTCTTCCAAACTTCTTGGCACAGACGAGTGAGTGCTTCCAGAGTTGCTTCCATTTGTTGAAACATCTCAGTTGGTATTCTGTCAATTCCTGGAGCCTTGTTTTTCACCAATGCCTTCAGTGCAGCTTGGACTTCTTCCTTCAGTACCATAGATTCTTGATCATATGCTACCTCCTAAAATGGATGAGTGTCAACCAGTTCTTTTTGGTACAGTGACCGTATTCCCTTCGTCATCTTTTGGTGCCCTTAGAATCCTTCAGTATTGCAACTTGAGGCTTGAATTCTTTCTTTAGTTCTTTCAGCATGAGAAATGCCAAGCATGTTCTTCCCTTTTGGTTTTCTAACTCCAGGTGTCTTTGCACATTTCATTATAATATTTTACTTTGTCTTCTCAAGCCACCCTTTGTTTAGTTACTCTTAAGTTCAAGAGCAAGTTTAAGAGTCTCTTCTTACATCCATTTTGGTCTTTTTTTTCTATTTAATCTTTTGCATTCTTTATAGACTATTTCAAATGCATTTTCTACATTGGTATTTACACGAATAATTGGGTTAGGCAATCACTCTGAGCAACATTATTGCATGGTTTTGCAATCACTTAATATGCTACATTTCCTTATATCATGCTTTATATTCTTGAATATCAGAACTTGCTGAAATACTATCTAGCTGTCTTTGTGATTCTGAAAGGAGAAACCACAAGCTAAAATTTTTCAGGTGCTGCCAATTTCCAAATTTAAAGAGACTATCTAAACTGTTTATAATTTGAAAATACTGTAAAACCTGTGAAAGCCAGAACCTATGTAAGGTGGAAAACTGTCAGAGAAGGAAAACAAATATTTTCCACTAGTAGAGAGCAACAGGAAAGTGGTAGTACTGCACCCTGTCAGGCAGAGAACTCGCGAGACCCAGAAAAACAAGGCAGACTTGTCAAGTTCCAGCTCTCACAGGTTTAGCTGTATTTGCCTCTTAGGTGGTGAGGTGGTTAAGAGCTCAGCTGCTAACCAAAGGCTTGGCAGTTCGAATCAACCAGCTGCTCCTTGGAAACCCAGTGGGGCAGTTCTACTCTGTCCTGTAGGCTCACTGTGAGTCGGAATCAACTTGATGGCAACGGGTTTAGTTTTTTTGAATAATAAAATGAAGCCCTGGTGGCACATTGGTTAAGAGCTCGGCTTCTAACCAAAAGGTCAGCAGTTCGAATCCACCTGGCTCTCCTTGGAAACCCTATGGGACAGTCCGCTCTGTCCTTTAGGGTCACTATGAGTCAGAATCTACTTGACGGCAGTGAGTTTTTTAATAGTAAAATAGTAAAGATATAAAGACCATAAATCCCCTAAAATTAATAAATTTAAAATCATTTTAAAATATATTCATTTCTAAAGTGACAAATTTTTTTTCTTTAAAAAAGGAAGGGGACTCCTGTAACCCCTTATTGCATCATCATCAGTCTTCTTTGAGATCTGATTAAAGCTATGGACTCTCACCCCTGAAAGATAAACACATGCACACCGTTCAAAATGTCCCCAGTTTCAAGAGTTATGGAAACTCCATGGGGCCCGGTTAAGCAGCACTGTGTCCAATGGCAGCGTATTGTTACTTTCATCAGATGGTTACTCACAAATTAAGACAACAATATTGCAACTTTAGAGTTACAATGATAAGCCGGTTTTTCCACATTGGCACAATGTAGCTATATTATAGTTTAAAATAAATTGTGCCAAAAAGTATGGTTCAGAATAACCCGGAGTAGATTTCCACCTGATGCCTGCAAGCAGAACAGAATAATTTTTAAATATCCACAGTCAAAATAATACCGTGTTACGTATTTTATTATAACCATGTCTGCTTTATAAAGGAATACAAACAGGCACAGTACAATGTTCAGAATATTTATTAAGTAAACTAGCTAAAACATGACTTGGACAGACAGACTTAGCAGTCAAAAGAAAGAACTGATTATTCACTGTACCTCATTAGGGTTTTTGTTACAGGTAGTCCCTGACTTATGATGTATTTGAGTTACAAGGAACTGCACTTAACGACCAGCTGTTTTGGGGGATTTTTTTTTTTTTTTTTGTACATCTTATCGTAATATGTACTACATACAATATTGCACACGTAATTTTCTGATGTTCTCAGATGTTCGCTCACAGATGTTCAAAGATCAGATCTATATAGACAATAAAAGGCAATAATAATGAAAACAAAAAAATGGTACTTAGAACCAACTTAAGACGGAGTCATCAGGACAGAACCCCGTCGTAAGTTGGGGACTACCTGTATTTGTATTACCAGGTAGAAATAGAAACCACCTCTGTTCAAGAATAAATGTTCAGAGCACTGCATATTCTTTGTTCTGATACATAAACAATAAAAAACACTTCTCTTTTCAGTCTTGCTAACCCAAAATAATAGTCACAAAGACCTACCATTTCTCTCTCTTTTTTTTTAACCCCCTCAGATATTACTGATCTCTTGCTCCCAAAACAGTCTTGGAAAACACATTATCTTTTACGTCATCCCTTGGGATGAACAGCAGGCCTGGGCTTTACCAGTCATTGTTGAAGACACTGAAGCCTTAAAGGCAAAAATAAAATAGGAATAAATTGTGCTTGTGGGTAGCGGGGAAACCACACACCCTCAAAGAGAATGGATTTATAAGATGTTCTTTTTTCAAGCTCTCCTATTGAAAATAATCCTGCTTCATTTTAGGCATATAAGAGTGCCTCCAGAGCCACTTTCCAAAACAGCAGATCTGTGTAAGTTGCCCAATGCAAATAATTAAATAGGAATCCTGCTTGCTTTAAACACACCGCACTTAAAAACCAGACTCTGAGTCATTGGTAAGAGCTTCATAAAGCAAACAAGTAGTAGCTGCATTCCTAGCGAATAAGAAATAGTCATAAGACTGAAGAATCTTCATTCTAAAGTGTTTTCTCCTTGATGTCCCAAGTAAACAGTAACAATTTTAGCTTAACGAACTGACAAGAGGTAATTTTTGTTCATGATTACAGAACTGCAGAATTAACAAGTATTATTTTGACATTCCACACTGTCTTCACACTCCAAACACTCATACAAAACTTGATGTAAACAGGCAATTTTCACTAACACAGTATTTGCTGTTACATTGAAAAGGCGCATCGATGTTGTCATGCTTAGAAAAACTACATTACACAGCACAAATGATATGTTAACACAGACATTTTTAGATGTTTGGCTTTCCTTTTCTACCTGTGAAAGGAGGTGTGTCCTAACCACTATTACTTTTACCTATTTTCATAACATGCAATTCAACAATTTCATTGCTTCATTTAAAATGTTTTCACATTGATGTGAACAACTTTCAGAAGCCTGAAAAATGGAACAGTTTTCAGAAAACCCAAAATTAATAGATCTCTAGAAAACACATGACCTCCAAAGAGGTCAAAAATAGTAGAGTCTGATTTTTCATGTCATAGCAGCTTCACTACCCTTGCAGATTTCTAAAACTTGAATTAGATGTTGATTTATCTTATCATGCTTAAACAACCTCAACAGTGTAAGAGCATACCTATACCCTCAATTTTCTTTCCTCCAACAAAACAATCTACCATACATCTTAAAGGAAAACCTTCTAGTTGTTCACAGCTATATGTTTCTGTACTTTTCTGTGCTTTCAGAGCATTTACTATTTTTTCCTTATCAGCATTAATGTTTGCTGCCAACCACAGGACACGTAAACATAATTTATAACCATCTGTTTACAGGTAGGTGATTACACCGAAAACTATGCCAGCTAAGGTTTATGGGTAAGTCCAAAAGATGACTGACTCAAGTTCATGTCCTGTCCACTTGAGATAGTTAGCATTTAATTCGTAAACACATTGATAATAATTACAAGTTAAATAACTCAGCACACATTCCAAGTCACTGTATAATGTATGCTGTCTTACTTGATTCTCTTTTTCAGACTTCCTCCTAGCTTCTCATTGTTGGAAGAGTCTCAGAGATAATGTGTGCTTTAGTTGTAAACACTCATTACCAATATTCAGAAAAAATAGAGGATTTTTCTTTTTGCCAAGTGTTCGTGAATGTAAGCTAAAAAATTATATTTGATTTGGATTCAAATATTTATAGATTTACACTATACCTATTTTGCCAAAATATATTGTATGATATTTAATAAAACCAAATACATAAAATAAAGTTTTCAACACTATTTATACAAACCCTAGAAAAGCTTCTTTTTCTTTATAAGGCTGTTGGCAAACGATCATAACCATGGAAAAGAACCTTTGGTTGCTTTACTCTTTAACAAGGGACAGATGGTATGACTAAGACAGGCTGGATAAGTCATTGCACTGGAAACACTGTTTTATACAATTTAATACTTGGATGACTTTGGAGGCTCTCAGTCACTTTCAGATTCTTCATCATCACCTATTGGATATGACTGGATGTTATTCTGGGTATACATTTTTGTTTTAATGGGGCAGTTGTGATCCATGAGAATAGCCTAAAAGAGAGCAAAGTAGAGGTGTATTAACTTCTTGTTTCATAAAGATTAAGATGGTTTTAGCCTACTTGTTTTCGAGGATTACTAGTTTGGAAGCTGTGTATAGTACCACCTGCCGTTAACCAGTCATTGGGAGCGATTGCCAGGTGCCTGGCCTAGATTTGCAGTTCTACACTGAAAATCCCAGGCAACAGGAGCTAGCAGAAGTGGTCTCTATGGGGTCTTTTCATCATACCTGTCAAGGGCCACAAGTCAATTCTGGGGAACCTATACACCACGAAGCAAGGGGTATGCAGGCTAGGTTTAGGAAGAGGTAGGATCTTGGAACTGGGATGGGAGGAGCCTGAAGATCACCCAGTCTGACTTCTATTTATAGACTTCATGGTAGCAATACACTGAGTGAGGATGCGCTCACTCCTTAATGGGGAGAGCTCTCAGGTGTCAGAAATGTACCTGAGGCTGAACTAAAACCTGTCTCCAGATTAACAGATCCAGTTCTGGTACCAGCTGTCTCCACAGTCTGCCCTTACAATTTGTTAAGACGATCACCACGGCCCATCAGATTTCTCTAGGCCAAACATCCCAGGGCCCATATCTTTTCATAAAGTGATTTCCAGACCGCTTCTCTCCAAATCCTGGCTGTCCTCTAGCTCAAATGTATGATTTTTTAAATCCATCCCCCTTCAGATGAACATAAAAATCTCATCCCTCCTTTATTGTTATTGAATATTAAACAACAGTGTGACTGAAGACAAAGCAATGCATTGCTTTCAAACTGCATCCTCAGTTGATAAGCACTTGTAATCGTTATCCTCCTGCAGGTGTACTGAACGGAGCAGAGTCTGATAATACAGCTGACATTTAGTGTGTCAAGACATGCTGAGCATTTTAGATGCAATACCTCAACCTCACAATAACACTGTGTAGTAGGGTGAAGAAAGGCACAGAAAGGAAGAACTTGACCAAGGGCTACACAGCTAGAATGTGCCAGATGTCAGTCCAGGCAGCCTGAAGGCAAAGTCTACTCTTGTAACACTCCACGGCATAGTCAGAAGAAGGCAGAGGACAGGCAGTGGGCATTGTGTGTGACTAAAACATTCTCTTTTTCCATTAGGCATGTCTCATGGAGTTTTCCTCTTTCATGTGAACTAAGCCAGTTTTCTCCAATATCTTCCTGTGCATTTAAAAAAACTAAATGGGAATGTTTACCTGTATTAAAATTTACCTTATTTTGTCCTATTGCAACCTATCTTTTGGTGTTTGTTAGCTGTTACTCCCAGTTCTTATCCCACAGATTTGATAAGCTTCTATGACTCCACTCAGTGTTTAACCCATTTACCGTTTCCCAAGAAATTCTAAAAGGATCTGCCTGTGTGACTGATAAGGTCTCCTTTGCCCTCTAAGTTAGGCTGCCAACCCAACTCGCCAGCTGCAAACTCAGTTCTGTTTTTTAGTATGCTTCTTGCCAAGTGAATTGACACTTGTATTTAATAAAGAGCACAGTTTCTAAAAATAATTGGGGCACTAGACATTGTACACTATGACCAATCTCCCTGTGTGGATGTGTTTAATCCTGTTCCCCCATACCCCGCCCCCTGCCACCCAATAGCCAAATGCTCCATTTCGTTGGATTAGTGATTCTCAAAGAAATATGCCAGGAATCACTGTGGGGAGCAGAGAGACCAAGCAGGTGAAATAGGAAAGTCCTGTCCCTACTCTACCCTCAGAAACCCTGGTGGCGTACTGGTTAAGAGCTATGGCTGCTAACCAAAAGGTCGGCAGTTCAAATCCACCAGGTGCTCCTTGGAAACCCTATGGGGCAGTTCTGCTCTGTCCTATAGGGTCGTTATGAGTCAGAATCAACAGCAATAGGTTTGGTTTGGTTCTTCGGCACACCACCCTCACGTGACAGTGGTGTCAACGTGTTGCATGTCATTATCTAACACCACAGCACAGTTAAACAGCTGGCCAGTTTACTGGGCACCTCTAAGCTTTGCACATCAGTGCCCTTAAAGAGCTTCCTAGTTAGCGAAGATCCTATACCAGCAACCTACCTTTTAGTACAGATACCACATGAGATTGAAGCTGTCAAGGATTTCATTTTACTTGGACCCACAATCAACATCCATGGAAGCAGCAGTCAGGAAATCAAAAGACGCATTGCACCGAGCAAATCTGCTGCAAAAGATCTCTTTAAAATGTTGAAAGGCAAACATGTCACCTTGAAGACTAAGGTGTGCCTGACCCAAGCCATGATATTTTCAATCGCATCATACACATGCAAAAGCTGGATGATGAATAAGGAAGACCGATGGAGAATTGACGCCTTTGAATTGTGGTGTTGGAGAAGAATATTGAATATACCATGGACTGCCAAAAGAACAAACAACTCTGTCTCGGAAGAAGTACAACCAGAATTCTCCTTAGAAGCAAAGATGGCGAGACTGCATCTTACATACTTTGGACATGTTGTCAGGAGGGATCAGTCCCTGGAGAAGGACATCATGCTTGGTAAAATACAGGGTCAGCAAAAAAGAGGAAGACCCTCAACAAGATGGACTGACACAGAGGTTGCAACAATGGGCTCAAGCGTAACGATTGTGAGCATGGTGCATGACCAGGCAGTGTTTTCGTTCTGTGGTGCATAGGGTCGCTATGAGTTGGAACTGACTCGACGGCACCTAACAACAACCACGTGAGTCAATGACGTATTCTGGGGTTCACAGATGCAATGCCCACTGTGGTTAGTGCTTGGGGAAAGCTATATGGAAGAGGTGGGAGTTGAGCTGGGCCTTGAAAGATGGAAAGGATTTGGATAGCACGGGAGGTGAGAATGAGCAAAGCATGATTTACCAAAGGGAACATTAAGTAAAACAGGCCACGGGATAAGCCAGCCTGGCCACCACAGAGATGTGATGACAAGGTACAGTGAGATATTAGTTGGAAAGCTTGGTTGGAGACAGACTGCAGGGACTTGAATGCCAGGCAAGGGCGTGTGACCATCACTTGGCCCAAAGGCAGCAAGGCAGCCTTGTAAAGGAAGGCTGTCACTCCACTTACTCATAACTGCTTCCCATCCCTTGGTTCATCCACCACCAGCCCTGCATGCACGTGTAGGTAGAATGCCCGACGACCCCAGATCCTAGTACTGGGCACGTAATACTGACACAATAAAAAGTGCTGTAAGGGCAGATGCTCAGGCAGACCGGTTAGCTGGCCGCACACAGACTCAACGTTCAGAATGTATCAGTTCAGCCAAACATTGTTGGTCAACACGGCCTATTTATTTTTGGTAAAGAAGTTTTCTATCCTTGAATCTTGTATGTTGTAAGGTGAGTAGTCAGGACTGTATCTTTTAAAACCTAGCTTGCTGGCTTCTGAACCTCTTTGGAAAGATTTATTTGCAATAATATATTGTACAGTTATACATGATTAAATAAGCCAGATGGCATGAAATATTTCAAAGATGCCATGAAAAGAGAGGCAGAAACAGCATGAAGTGTTGAGTGACAGGTATAAGGTGTGGCCACGGAGCAGTCAGCTTATCTAGACCAGCACTCTGTGGATTGCTGTGGGGAGAAAGATGTACTCAGCTCTCAGATGAAGAGAAGAAAAGGGGGGAGGCTATACTTTGAATTAAGAGCAAACCCAATTACTCATAGTTGAGCCCTGTTGTTGTTGTTAGGTGCTGTCAAGTTGATTTGTGACTGACAGTGACCCCATGTGACAGAGCAGAAATGTCCCACAGGATTTTCTAAGCTGTAATCTTTATAGGTGCAGAGCGCCAAGTCTTTCCGTCACAAAGCCGCTGGTGGGTTCAAACTTCCAACCTTTTGGTTAGCTGCCCAGCCTCTGCCAAATGCCTAGTTCCATGTCAGCCACAGAGCAAAGTCAGGATAGCCAAGATCATCAAAACGTGTGGGTCAAATGAAGTCTAAAAGTAATGCCAGTATTAAGCTGGGATAATTGAAAAAGTAAAAGCATTAACAGGTAAGAGTTTCAGGCTATGAGACTTTGAAAGGTATCAGGCCTGGGTGGTAGAAAAGTTTTACTCTCTCTAGCATAACGAAAAAACAATGATGGTTTTGCATCCACTCTGTAAATGCCCTGCAAAGGGGGCAAATCTCTCTATGTGGGTTATAACATGCGGAGCATATTCAGTCTCGTTCCTGCTGGGTGGTGGGCTGCAGAGCGGGTCAGTCCCTGGCTGCCTGATCTGGCCTGAACCACAGCCTCCAGAACACAGGAAAAAGAGCCACCTGGGAAAAGAAAGCTGTGGTCCTTAAACCAACTGCTTTCCGGTGTGGGCAACAATTAGAAACTTCAAGAGCAAAATGTAAGAAACGTACTCTATCTCTAAAAATAATCCTTCAACCTGGAAAAAAAAAAAAAATCCATCTCAGAATGCAGCTATTCCCAGCTGAGTATGTTGAGCATGAAGGGCTGCCATATGTAATTGTCTTATAACTGGAACAAATGGCAGTGTGGCTATTTCTTATACTTGCACAGCGACTTGGATAAGTCCCTCAACCAATATATAATAACACTGATTACAAAAAAACAGAACTCTATAAAACCAAGTGGAAGAAACACTCCAGTGCTCACATACTAGTTCATAATTTTATGACTTGTAATCCATGAAAATAGCATTCGATCTTTCAATACAAAACCCCCTAAGTCCAACACCTCATTATAAGAAGGCTACCTAATGAAAGAATTGTTTGCTCAGAGCTGTGTGCCTTGTTTCGGCTCTCTCGTCCCGCACCAGTGCCTGTGCGTATCAGATTTTCTCAAGTGCACACTAATCAATTCCTTCTCCTCCGTGGCACTGCCATCCTGACCTCACTCGCTGTTATCATGAGGGGCTATCAGCCTCCACCCTGTTCCTTCCTGCTCTGCTTGCCCATTGAGTAGGCGGCAGCTACCGGCCTGCTACACTCACATGTTACTATTCCGCCAGTCAAATGGCATCTGACTTAAAGCCTTCAATTACGGGCATCAATTATGGGCAGTGTACATGTTCTCAAGTTTTTAATGATTCATCTTGCTAAGCACTTGTTAAGGATTTTGATGTTTTGCAGTGAAAATGGCTTTCTGGAAACCTGTAATTCTTACTGCTTTGCTTTTCAGTATTGTCTCTTATACTTCTTCAGCATTTTTTTTTTAAAATGACCTAAGGCATTGGTTTAAATGTGGGAAGAAAAGGGGCACTGAAGCTGCCTTCTGACAATTGTTTTGTGGAACACAGAGTGGCAGCTGGCTGAGCAAGTAAACCACCTGCTCGTCCTCTGACCTCATTCATTTCCTCCAAAACCTCAGATAAGACTTCACGGGGCTGCCGACAAATGGACAACATGGCGGCCACTGAAGTCCATGCCCTGGCTGGGGCACCCGCTCAGCAGTTCTGGGGCCTGTATGGCAACAGGAAGCTCTCACCTCACAGAGGGAAGAAAGGGAAGAAACTGGTACCACAGGGTGATGGTAAGTCAGAGAGTTAGACGAGGGCAAGGAAGAAGAGTGGGTGATACTGGAAATAGTAACACATGAGCATTTACCATGTGCCAGTCTGGGGTAAGCACTCTGCTGGGATTCTTTCATTTAATCCTCACTGCAATGGTACAAGGGAGGCAGATGCTGTTGTTTCTCCCAGGTAACAGAGGAGGAGGAACTGAGAATCATACAGCCCCTAAGTGCTAGGATCAGTAGAGTGGTTAGCCCACAGCCCATGCCAACCCCTCACTATCTGCAAGAATCTTACACCATCTCCTGGGTGCTGGAAGCATTTGCAGGTAATTATCTTTCAGTCAAAAAGGGCTGAGAGTAACCTTCACTCAGCCATAATCAAATTGATATGGAGGTAAGAGAATGACAGTTTTTCAGTTGTTGCATTGAGAACTGTTTGACCCCTATTTGGGCAAGATACTGTTCTGAAGTCAGCCGAACAAAGATGGATCAGGAACTTACACAACCCTGGTGGAGGCTGGAAAACAGGAAAGTCCCCTCAGAGATGTATAATAAAGCACTACGGTTGTTCAGAGCTGGGATGCATTTACACAAGACTGTAAATGACGAGGGTGATCTGAATGTGACGAGGTGAAGAGCAGGAAAATGAAAGAAGAAAGGGATGGCTTATTTCCACTCCTTTTCTTTGAGTCAAATGTGTCATGACTATTTCAAAATTATCTAGTTAAATTCTACTCATCAAGAGCACAAGGCCAGTGACTAGAGCTGGATACATTTTTAAAACATGCTGAATGAATTAATGAATGCAAAAAATGCCCAAGACAAATATAGGCTGCACATAACCTAACTTTAGGGTCTCTATCTTTAAAACCACTAACTCATCAGCGAAAATCATAAAAAAGCAGTTCAGGAAATGCCAAAGCATAAGATCCACTCAGTTCAACCATCAGAAAGAATTTCTGATGTACTCTCAAGAGAACATCACAAATGAACCTCACATCCATTCATGAACACAAAAACACCATCTCCTCTTGCCTTGTTCATCTCTCTTACTCATTCTCAATCCAAGGCACTCTTCTTTCAGCTCCCTGAGTATCAAAGATAATGATGTTTCAAAGATAAGGAGTCCCATCCCTAAGTATGGATTATTATCAGAAACACTGAGCTTCTCTTTCTGGGTAAGTTAAATATCTCAGAAAGGTTAAAATGAATGCTGCATTTCAAAATTCAAATTTAGAATCAAGAAATGTGAACTTGTTCAAAAGCGGGACATTTTATACCCTACACTATAACTTGCCTATCAGTATTATTCTGCCACAAAGTGATGAATTAAAAGGTTCTACATGCTCACGTGCGTGCCCAAAGATGCATAAAAAAAGGTTCCTCAAGGGAACGTTATCTATACTAAAACCATCTCCAGAATCTTACAAATTCAGTAAGGACGAAGACACCAACTATTAATGCTGTGTTTGTCATGGATTGAATTATATCCCCCAAAAAATGTGTGAATCAATTTGGCTGGGCCATGATTCCCAGTATTGTGTGGTTGTCCTCCATTTTGTGATTGTAATTTTATGTTAAAGAGGATTAGGGTGGGATTGTAACCCCACCCTTACTAAGGTCACATCCCTGATCCAATGTAAAGGGAGTTTTCCTGGGGTGTGGCCTGCACCACCTTTTATCTCTCAAGAGATAAAAGGAAAGGGAAGCAAGCAGAGAGTTGAGGACCTCATACCACCAAGAAAGCAGTGCCAGGAGCAGAGCACGTCCTTTGGACCTGGGGTTCCTGCACAGACAAGCTCCTAGTCCGGGGAAGATTGATGAGAAGGACCTTCCTCCAGAGCCAACAGAAAGAGGAAGCCTTCCCCTGGAGCTGACGCCCTGTTTTTGGACTTTTAGCCTACTAGACTGTGAGAAAATAAATTACTTTTTTTAAAAGCCATCCACTTGTGATATTTCTGTTACAGCAGCACTAGATGACTAAGACAGTGTTGGGAGGAAAGCAAAAAATACCACAAATGGCTAATCCTGGGCATTTTTCTGTCCAAGATTTTCAAGAACGTAGAAAACTGAATTAAACTACTACACGTTTTTATTTTGTTGACAAAAAGCTATACTGACTGCTAATTAAGTACAAAAATAACTTCACACTTCCAATTTGTAAATATAATGTCCAATATAATAAAAGAAGTAACTGCCCTATGTGATGCAAACTAAAAGGAACTCTTACCATTTACGTTTGGAACATGTTTTAGAATAAAATCAGGAGGAAGGTATCCAGAAGATCATGCTAAAATGATCAAGAAGAAATGCTTCATTGCATCCTAAATTTTTCTTACCATTTTTTCTTCCTTGGCAGGTGGACTTCGAAGAAAAAAGCAGAGAGGAGCAAAAAGAATATCAATTATTCCAATAATTGTCATGAGCCATGGAAATCCAATTGCCTTGGCGACAGCCCCACCAGCAGAAGGACCTTGAAGGAAACAGAGAATTAGATAAAGCTCTCTCCAAATATTTTGTAGACAGAAAGATGCAAATAATTTTTAATAAGCATTAGCTGTCATGCACTGAGGTAAAAGTTTCTTTTGCAAAGTCAATGTCCTTACCTATGGCATATCCCATACAAAATGCAACATCTGCAATGGCATACACACTCCCATAGACGGACACATGCCGCAGGTCTACGAGGTAGCCCATGATGGGCATCATTGACGAGTCCACCATTCCTGTGGGCAGTCAGGAAACACAGTCTATAGAAAACTGATGTGAACCACATGGGCTGAATGTCATGGAACTGTGTCCTAAACTCACTATCCTGCCAACTTTTCCCCTTTTGTCACTGCCACCTGCAAGTCTTGAGGCCAGACCATCTATAGCCTTTGGCTGGGACTGGAACCCTGTACTGCATGCAGTCTGAATTCCTGTCAGTCCGGCCTTTGCCTGGTCTCTGCCTTGCCTCACCTGGTCCTCCAATGTCTGACTGGCCCATCCTTTGTTTGAGGGCACCAGTCCTCTGGTGACTCACTTGGCCATTCTTCAGATCCAGGGGAGTTGCTGGTTCCTGGTTGTGTGGATCCCGAGCCTGCTTCCCCTTTGTGCTTTCCTGACTCCTGACTGTCCACCTACTTTCTGATCCACTTGTCCCTTGCTAGTTTGAGGGACATGAGAGATCATCTGGCCCTACTCAGGAAATGAAGACCAAAAGAGGCTTGCTCATTTCATTGATTAAAAAAAAACCAACAGCCCAGGATTAGAATCTTTGGTCTCTTGAATAGTCAGGACAGGTAGCATAAAGAAAGAGCACGTTTTAGAGTTTTAGAGTTCTGGGTTCAAACCTTGGCTGAAGGACCATGATCATGCTTAACCTCTCTGAACTTCAGTTTCCTCATCTGTAAGATAGGGATGGTGATGATTGGCTAATGAGATAATGCCTGTGAACACACTCATGGAGTGCTCTAAGTTTGCTCTCTCAGCCCCACATGTATCAGAAGCAGGCAGACAGTGAAATGTCTTTCATTCAACTAGTATTTGCTGATCGCCTAATATGTGCTAGATGCTGGGGACACAGGTGTGGACAAAACTAACACAAGAGCTAGATATTAAGCAGAGAGTTGAAAAATTAATTACCATTGTGATTGGTGTTACAAAGGTCAGGTGGAAGGATACATATATATATGTATACACATATTTACATTTACACATACATACACACATACACACACACACACACACACACACACACGGGAACCTATCCTGGAGTTGGGGGCGGTCAGAAAAGTCTCCGTTCCTTCCTTCTCCTGCACCACTCAAAGGTTAAATTCCCACCCTCATCCTGTGATGGATTTAACAGTTACGTTTATCATTATCAGTCTGTATACTGTAAATGAGAAAGGCATACTATTAATCCAAAATGTCAACAAGATTTCCCCTAATATATTGGTTATTGTTCCTCACATTTCAAAGCCTTCTCCTTTGCCTGTGAAAATTTCTCCAGCACAGGCAGGCAGACATCAATGTATCAGTCTGCATTTTGTTCCAAACCCAATAGAAAAATGTACGTGAAGTCTTTGTCCCTCAGCTTCATCAGAAACTCTGTTGGCAGAGATGGGCACAAATAAATGGACTCTGTGTAAGGATTCTCTTGTTTGCCCAAGCTCAGCATGCAGTATCAGTTTGCTTCAGTAAACATTAGGCTTTTGAGAAAGCTGGTTTTCAGGAGAGAAATGTACTACTGCATGAAAGCAGGTATCCTGATGTGGACCATCTACAGAGCGTACCTGAGCTAAGCTGCCCACAGGCTCCTCTTGAGCTTCTAGAAATTTTAGGTTGAGTAACTACAGTCTGCCAGAGTAAGAGGAAATCATTCCTAGTAGTAGGGAAAATAGAGCTTTAAACCTAAGCACAAGGCTCATGTGACTTACCAATTGCAAAACCAACTCCAAAGTTGGGAGCTATGAGTCCATAAATGTTTTTTGCAAAAGGAATCTGTAAGAGGAAATAAATGGTATGCTAAAATAAGTTCCTGATATTCAACTTTTAATCATCTTGGAGATTCTTAAAAAGATGTCTTCCCTGGGCTTAGAATGTCTCTTCCCTTCTGAAGGAAATAGGGGGAGGAAGGAGACGGATGGACTTGGGGAAGAACTGGCCCCCCCAAATCTTTAACAACAAAGGTTGAAAAGTGTCTTATAACTACCACAACAAACAAGTTTACCCCATACATCAAAGATCAGCCTAGTCTACACCCAATTTCTGACAAGGTCAAGAAGGCCTCATTTGGAGTAGACATTGGTCATTGCTTTATTCTAGAAAAACACCTTGCTATTGTTACAGGCTAGTTGTCCTAAAGCGTTTAGGGGATTATAATGTTTAAGATGATTTTTTTAAAAAGAAGTTAAAATCTAAATATGTAATAAAACATTCTAAATAACTTCCAACTGACATACAGTTAGGAGGGCATTGCCCAAAATTTAAGATGAAAAATTAGAAAAAAATGAAAGATACAATAAAACTAAATAGTGACAAATTTCTAACTGCAGCAAGATGTTGCTTGGTGACTCCTGTCCCAGGTAAATGTTTTACTCACAGATTGTTTCCACTTTTCAATTGCCATTTTTTACTCACACATAAAATGCTGACTCCAACGATTATCATTCCCAGAAGAGCACAAAGCCATCTATCAAAAGAAAAACGCCATCAATAAGTGAGTGTTCAATCTTTTCCCCAGTCCAAACTTTCAATGGAAACCAAAGCAATTACTTGTAAAAGCTAAGGCTGAAACACTTAGAATTTTTATTAAAGTAACTACATTATTAGGATCCCTGGTGGCGCAATGGCTAAGCGCTCAGCTGCTAACCTAAAAAGGGTCGCAGTTCAAACCCACCCAGCAGCTCCAGGGGAGAAAGAACTGGCGGTCTGCTCCCATAAAGATTACAGCCTAGAAAGCCCTATGGGGCTACGGCCCTATGGGGTCGCTATGAGTCAGAATCGACGCGACGGTGTCTAACAACAACAACCAAGTTATTATAACGGAGTGAGTGGTTTTCATTTAATCTTACCTCCCCATTTTGTGTGCGAGTATCCCAAAAATATTGGTTCCAATGAGATAAGAGATACTGGCTGGCAAGAAAGCAATGCCTGTGAATTTATGAAAAGGACACCTTATCAGTACGATATCAGTCAAACGTTAGAAAAACTAATAATTGTAGACACTGCAGTGATGATTACGGCTGACGAAATGAAGCACAGAGGCCTGCCCCCGAGCAGCTAATATCCGGCGGCTGGCGGAGCAGTCTGCACCCCCTTCGGCTGATGCATTCGCCCAAAGCTGCCGAAACACTTCAGAAATGAAAGCATTTCTCTATCAAATGCTCCATCTCGCCTCCACCTCTGTCTGCTCGCAAGCTCTACGCATGGACCCAAACAGACAGCTCCTGATGGGCTGAGCTCGGCCACTGAGGCCTCATGTGTGAGGTGACAAATGGTAGCATCTGTGCATGGACCATCTTTCCCTCTATTATTGGGGGTTACAGAAGTAATACACAGTCATCAAGGAAATCAGAAAACATTAAGCAAAAAGAAAAAGTTAAAATGATCCCAAATCTCATTACTCAGGTATCCCCTCAGTTTTCGCTTCCCCTGTAAGTCTGTATGTATACGTGTGCGCGCACAGAATTTATTTCTCAAAAAAAAAAAAGGGATTACACTACGCCTACTGTTCTACATCCTGCTTTTTTCAATTAGCTTTATGAATATCTTTGCATGTTGAAAAACAATAACTGTCTACGTGGTCTTTCTTAGGACCAAGTTGTATTTGGCTGACATCCTCCTGCTGGGGGTTTCCCACACTCCCAGGAGAGGGAGCTTGCATCCTCCCGAGTTCTGATGAGCCTGAAGCTGATTTCCTGCTCGTGGGAGCAGCAGTTGCCTTGAGAGTGGTTTCTTGGCCAATAGAAAGGCCTACTCGAGTCAGACCAGGCTTAGCTGCAAGTGGATTTGCCCACGTCAACTCTAACTTGTCCGCATCATCACCAGGACAATAGGACGATCACTTTACTAAAGACTGCTTTTCAAACTCTTAATACTTTTATTATTTTTCTTGAAATCAGATATACCAGATTTGATTCTGAGCTGGTAAAATTTGCTCTGTTCTCAATCCTATGATTGTTCTCAGTGTATCTAAATGAGACAAACGACATCCTTCAATAAAAAACAGCAATGGACAAAGAATTAGCATATGACCCAGCAATTCCACTCCTAGCAAATCTAAAAGACCCGAAAGCGAGGACTCAGAACGGATGCCTGTACACCAATGTCCACTGCAGCATTACTCACAAGAGCCAAAAGGTGTAAACAACCCAAGTGTCCATCAACAGATGAATGGATAAACAAAATGTGGTATATGAATACAATGGAATATTAGTCAGCCATAAAGAGAAATGAAGTTCTGATACATCCTACGATATGGATGAACCTTGAAAACATTGTTGAGTGAAATAAGCCAGACACAAAAGAGCAAATATTTTATGATCCCACTTATATAAAATATCTAAAATAGGCAAATGCATAGAGACTAAAGTTTATTAGTGGTTACCAGGGGCTGGGGGGACAGGAAAATGGGGAGTTATTGCTTAAGGGGTACTGTGTTTCTGTTTGGGGTGACATAAAGCTTTTGGAAATGAATAATGATAATGGTTGCATAACATGGCGAATGTAATTAATGTCACTGAATTGTATATTAAAAATGGTTAGAATAGCAACTTTTTTGCTATATATATTTTACCACAATTAAATTTTTTTAAAACCTAGCAAACGGTCAGCGAGTGCCCACTACACATGAAATGCACAGGGCACGGGGCCTATCCTGTCCAGGCAGCCTCCCAGCACACCAATGAACAGGTACCATCATCTCTTGAAGGAAGTACTAGCCTTTTACCATGCCTCTGTCATCACTAATGTCAGCCATCAAACCCTGAGAAAAGCTGAGTCTTCCAACGCAGTAACTGAAACGATTAGTTCCATAAGCCATATCCAAAACCAAATCATTCTAGACTTTGTAATTCTGGGAAATAATAATAAAAAGCAAATTAATCTCGTGTTCCAGGAAACCACTGCCATCACATTTAGCAAGATTTGGCAGCCAAATAATTGTTCAGTACAATCTGATTGAACTTTTACTCAACAGCCATGTGCCCGGTGCAGCACTGGAGCCACAGTGGAGACAATGACCACATATAGCTCTTGCCACGACACCAGCGTCTTCAAAGAATGTAATCAGATGACGTGTGAACTGTGACATGGCCAGCATTAGGGACATAACAAAGGTACACACACGGTGCTCTGCGAACCCACAGTCTGCAACCGGCAAAGCTCCCCAAACCAGAGGGCATTTAAACCCAGTCTGGAAGGTGTGGGGAGTCCTGGTGGCACAATGTTAAGAGCTTGACTGCTAACCAAAAGGTCGGCAGTTGGAATCCACCAGCTGCTTCTGGGAAACCCTATGGGGCAGTTCAACTCTGTCCCATAGGGTCACTATGAGTCGGAATCAACTCGAGGGCAATGAATTTGGCTTTTTTGGAAGGTGTGGGGCAGGATTTCCCACAGCTCTAAAGAACTGTCTTAACCCTGATATATAACTAATCAGGATGGCCTTTGTCACAGGATGAGTGTCTAAACCAAGGACTGTCAACAAGGGTCAGGCAGGTATATAAATGAATGAAGCAATCAAAGTATAAGAAAACACAACGCAAGTACCACGATAAAGAGCTACTGACATGGCATCCAGGTCAGGGAGAACACAGGAAACATGCAGCGGGGAACCAAAGGGTCCAGGCCCCATCTAAGAGGGCAGCTGCCATTCTCTGCTGGCAATTACTGACCTGGGGGATTATGGTCCCAGTACTGGAAGATCTGATTTTTCTTGAAAAGCTGGAACTCTGGATTCTTGTGCGAATTCTCCGATTGTTACATGTTGGCATTTGACTTTGTAAAAATGTAACCTCATGCAGGCTAACACTCACCAGCCAACCAAACCCTGCTTGTGGGCTGCCAAAAGCTCAGGTCTGAGGGAAGGGTTCACAGAACCCAACCAGACGCCAAGCTTCCTGCTAGATCCTAACTCCAGGAGCAAAGCACAGGTGTTTCTCTGAAGCCAACGCTTCAAGGCAGGGAAGCAGACAAGCTCCAGAGGAAGACAGACTCTCGAAGACGAGTGACTTTTCCCGACTGAAGTGGGTGCCGAGCACGCATGTGGGACCCAGGAGCAGGGTGCTCCTTACTTTCCATGGATAGTAAATACTCGTAGGTAGCAAAACCAATCTCATGAGTCTCAGTAGGAAGCACTGGATTAAGAGGAATGAAATAAGAGATTCATTTCAGCTTGAGCCCTACTAGCCGTGTGGCCTTGAGTGAGTCACTTTAACCTCTTAGAGCCCGAGAAACAGCAATCACTTCCAGCATACACACCTCACGGGTGGTTTTGAAGATCAAATGGAAATTGTAAAACAAGACCTTTGGCAAATAGCCCTCTCAGTCTGATTTCTATGCCCTGTCACTCCATGCAAACCCCTACCTACCCTGCTTATGTCCCTGGCCTGCTGGCCTTCCCCGAATTGCAGAAGGCTCCTGCGGGCAGGGACCACAGCATCTGTCTCTCTCCCCACAGCCTCACTTAGTGGCCAGCACAGAGAAGGGGAAAAGGGGAGAATACTGACACATTGCAGGATTGCAACCAATGCCACAAAACAATTTGTGTATAAATTTTTGAATGAGAAACTAATTTGCACTGTAAACTTTCACCTAAAGCATAATAAAATAAACAAAAAACACAGTGTTCAACAAGAATAGTCATGTGGCCCCCATGCAATAAAAAAACTGTTTTGCTTTGACTTCAAATATTGTGATCTCTCTACAGAAACGACTAGGAAAGCATAAAGGCAGAATGGCTTCCCTTTCCACACCGGCCTGGAGGGAGGTCACATAAGACTCCTGAACAGTAACAGGCTGAGCCCCAGGGGCAGGTCACCCCGGGAGAAGGGCTGGGCCTGCCTCTTGGTTGCTGGGTCCTCCACACTGTGTCACCCATATGCCCCTTCTCACCAGGGCCAGAGCAGCCTGTGGGCTCTGGCAGTGTGGGCAGCAAGCTGCAGAGGCCCAAGCAAGGTAAGGTGCTTCCCCTCACACTGTAGCTGACACAGGAAACAGGTATAGAAATGTGATTCTCTTGATAAAGAAAAGCCCATCTCTGACGCAGGCGGAAGGAAAGCTCACTGGTGGAAATGGGCAGCAAGCTGTCCCCCGCAGGCAAGCATCTGGCCCGGACGATAAGCCCCAGCAGATCATCTCCTGATGGAATCTAGGCAGTCCGCTGTCCCCTATCTAGCCCGGATGACCCAGGGCTTTCTGACTGGCTCGAGAGACTCTATATAGAAAGCCCCAAGGCTCTGTCTGGAGAGGAAGAGAGCAAATCAGCTCGAGTGCCCTGCAGAGGCCAGAACACATTCAATTTGGACCATAAGTGACTTAAGTGCACACGTCAGAAACACTGAAAAAGCATCTTGGCCCAAGAGCACATTCAAACAAAAGGAGCAAGCTTAACTCGGCTGTGCGTGACCCATCCGGACCCAGGTCACCCCCTAAACACCTAGACACCCAACAGACCCCAAGGACCAGAGTAAATGAAAATCTGGAAGAACGGCTTCTGCAAATGTTGACAATGGATATTCGCAACAACACAAGAAGACTGTTTGCTCATCCTTTGCAAAACACCTATTCACTGATTCAGTTTTAGAAAAAAGTCTACCCATCCTGCTTGTTAGTATTTTTTTTTTTTTTAGAGAGAGAGCTTTGAAAGTCACTGGATTTCCTCTTTCATCTTGACTGCCAGGATGTCCAGAGCTCAATTTTCTGCTAAGAAACTATCCTGAGCCGAGCTCCAAGAACTCCCCATCTCCATGGGAAGAGTCTTGTTGTTTGGAGCTTATTTTTGTTTTGTGCTATAATTCACATATCGTACAATTCACCCTTTTCAAGTGTATGGTTGTGGTTTTCAGTACATTCACAAGGTTGTGCAATCACCACCACTATTAATTCCAGGACATTGTCATCACCCCCAAAAGAAACCTCCTTAGTGGTTACTCCCCACACTACCCCCAGCTGTTTGGGGCTTGTTTTAAGGAAGGATAGTTTGATCAAAGAACACAGCAGCTCAACGCAGAGCCCAAAGGGAGTGGTGCTCAAGCCAGGCCAACTGCAGTGAGGCAGGAAGCACAGGGAAGAGCCTAAACCAGGAGGGAGGCAGCATCTGGCAGACACCACAGCAGAGGCTGGAGGCCTGAGGGAAAATAAGGTTGACTAAGGGAAGGCTGGGCACATTGCAAATGACAGCTGTTATGGATTGAATTGTGTACCCTAAAAATGTGCGTCAACTTGGCTAGGCCATGATTCCCATTATTGTGTGGTTGTCAACCATTTTGTGATCTGATGTGATTATCCCATGTGTTGTAAATCTTAACCTCTGGGACGTTTATGAAGCAGGATTAGAGACAGTTATATTAATGAGGCAGGACACAATCTACAGAATTAGATATCTTGATTCAATCTCTTTTGGATATAAAACAGAGAATCAAGCAGGGTAAAGGGACTTCATACCACCAAGAAAGAAGCACTGGGAGTGGAGCGAGTCCTTTGGACCTGGGAACGCTGCACTGAGAAGCTCCTAGACCAGGGAAAGATTGATGATAAGGACTTTCCCCCAGAACCAACAGAGAGAGAAAGCTTTCCCTGGGAGCTGGCACTCTGAATTCAGATTTCTAGCCTCCTAGACTGGGAGGGAATAAATTTCTGTTCATTAAAGCAATCCACTTGCGGTATTTCTGTTATAGCAGCACTAGATAACTAAGACGAAGCTGAATTATGCACTGAGAGTCTCCATTTGAAGATATCAGTATGTACATTGAAAGAATTTCTAAAAAAAAAATCTTTAGGAAGGATAGTAAATAAATGTGTGTACAGATGACTGGTCTTTCCAGATATTAAACAATATTCTAAATTTACAGTAATTAAGTAGGAGGGTATTGACATATGAACGACAAGCAGGTCAAGGAATAGAAGAGGAAATCCAGAAATAGATCCAAGGCTATATGGTAATTTAGTGAATGATGGAGGTAGCATTTCAAGTCAGTGGGAAAAAAAGACGGTCTACTTGAAAAATGGTCTTAGAACAACTGGCTGGCCATAGAGAAAAAAGTAACACTAAATTCTGTAAGGACTTAGGATTTTAATGTAAAAAGCAAGCCATAAATTTATTAGAAGAAAACATGGGTGATTTTTAAGAAAATAATCTTGGCATGGGAAATGCCTTTCTGGATTTGACTTGAGATCACAATGTCATAAAGAGAAAGATTGCTAAACTGGACTACTGACATTTTGAATGTTCTGAGTGGCAAACAATACCATCAATAAAGTCAAAAGGCATACAACAAAGTGGGGAAAATAGCTGCAAAACATTGGTAAAGGAGTAATCTTTTCATATGCAAAGAACACAAAATCAATAAACAAAGGACAAACAACTCCATAGGAAAAAAAGGACAAAGTACCTTCATAATAAATGCACAGTAAAGGAAATACATATGGTTATAAACATATAAAAAGAAGGAGTTTCCCAAGTGAAGAGGTTGACCAAGCAAGTGCGTAGCACAGTGGAGGAAAACAGCCCAACTTCGAATCACCACTGTGAAGGCTCATCAACTAGAGAGGAAGAGAAGGTGCTCTGAGCTCCTAGAGAGAATGGGGAGTGAGAATGACACTGGCCTCCTTAGCAGCAACCTTGGATGCTAGAAGACAGTACAGCAGTGCCCTCAAACTTCTAAAGGAAAACGATTTCCAACCAAGGATTATATTCCCAAATTGATTAAGTCAGTCAAATGCAAGGTGAAGATGAAGACCTGATCTGCCACAAGCCTCTTTTAGGAAGCAGCTGGAGGATGTGCTCCATCATAATGAGGGAGTAAACAAAGAAAGAGGAATACAGGAGAGAAGGATACAGGGAACAGAAAGGAGGCAGAGAAGATGCCAGAATGGTAGGGAGAAAACTCCTACGATGGCCTGCAGAGCAGCAAATCTAGACTGGAGCAGGATGACAGAATGATCTAGGACAAATGTGCATAAACAAGCAAAAAAAGAGAAAGGTTTGGTTTTCTGATGTACTTGACCAAATTTAGAGGACCTTTCATCTCTGCCAGAGAGTTTATATATTCATAAATACTACATAGAAAACTAAGAAAATGAAAAGGCGAGGCAATTACTAACTCCAAGAAAAACAAAAATCTGTAAAAAAAAAAAAAAGGAAATTAATCATAGCGCATACATAACTCAGCTTTGAACAATATTTACATAGTCATGATAAGTCAGTACTGAATGCCCATCTAACCAAAAACTCTGATACAAGTATGTCAGGGGGACAGAAGGTGAGAAAATGTGTGGATTGGTTGTTTGATTTTCTTCAGATGGAGCAACAACAGTATTAAATTCTCATCTACTTTATTAGGTCACCAGTGGACAATGTCAGAAATTGAAAATCAAAAAATAACAGTGTACACATATTACTTCACAACATAGACGGAAACAGCAGAAGAAACATCTAAAAGAGGTGAAGGTGGCCAAAATCTGAGGAGGGAGTTTGCGGTGGGGGGAGGCGTGGGGCAGAGATTGCTGTTTTTTCATGACTTTTAAAATTATGTACATGTGGAACTTTGATAAAATTTAAAACTTACGTAATTCTGATGTGGAAATATGACCACAATATTTCATGAAGGAAAAACAAGAGATCACAGAGTAATGCAAATGACAAGATTCAGTTTGGGTTGGGTTTTTAAGCATTTCATACCTATGATGATAAATGCAGAACCATCTGGAAAAAGATACCTAGAACTGTTAACAATGGATATCACAAGTGGGTCGGAGGGGAGGGGAATGATGGATGGACATGGGAGTTTTAGATTTTTACTTCCTCAATTTGTGTACTTTAATTTTTTTTATAATAAACATGTATTCCTTTTCTCACTTAAAAATCATTTTAAAAATTCACGCTCTTAAAAGCTAAATTTGTTGTTAGCCTCTCTCACGTAAACTATATTGCTGTCCAAGTACATCTGGGAGAACTACTCCAGGTTAGGAATGTGGGGAGATGCTGAATGTATTTGTCCTCTTTCATTTCTGCCCAGGTCTGATGCCTCTAGATTCATTCTGCATCCATCAGGGATGGTACAAAAACTGGAGCCAGAATAGACCCTGAAGCTCACTGCTGCCCTAAGCACTGATGCCACCAGCTGTCAAACAGAAGCAATCATCCTGGTAGCACAGCTTGACAGGATTACACTGACGGGGCCCTCCCTGCGGGCAAAAGTTCCAGAATCAAAAGAGCCTGCCCCAGTCCTTACCCAGCTGCCACTTGCGGGAACACATGGTCTCCATCATCCAGATGGGCAGGGCTGGCTCCAGCATGGCGATCCCCATGTTTGCAAAGCAGATGGACCCTTGAAGGAAGGAAGAAGGTGAGTGCACTTCACCTTGGGTCTTGAATATCCCCTACTGTTTCCAAACAGAGTTAAACCCCATGTGCCCACAGCCAGAACAGTCAGCTCAGATACTCAGAACTTCTTTTCCTACTTTTGTAAGAAAAAGATATAAATAACAAGTCAAAGGGATAGTCAAGAAGCGTTGTTGATGATGATGATTTTAAACAGAGTTGTAAAGTTTGGATCTCGAGGGAGCCTTACAGACCTTTTGGTTTAACATTCCCAATATATTGATGAAGAAAACCGAACAAACAAACAAAAGAAACCTCATTGCCATCGAGTCAATTCCGACTTACAGAGACGCTATAGGACAGAGGAGAACTGCCCCATAGGGTTTCCAAGGAGCATCTGGTGGATTCAAACTGCCGACCTTTTGGTTAGCAGTCAAGCTCTTAAACACTGTACCACCAGGGCTCCAATGAAGAAATGAAGTAGCTTGCTTGAGGCCGCCCAGTGGCATAGGCAACACCCAGACCACATACAGACTTGGGCAACCTGAGGCTCTTGCATCTACCTCTGAATGTAAAATGAACACAGATACTGTAATAATGCTGTGGGTGCCAGAGAATCCAAGAAGGATCCAGTACTTTCTGTACAGTCGTGATGTTGAGGGATTTCTTTTTTTTTTCCAAAAATCAATTTTATATATATATATTTATGGCATCTGTGTTAATATTTATTATCACTCCGTGAATCAGAACCCTTTATAAATGTGGAACCATCTGGAAAAAGACATACAGAACTGCCCCTCATCGTTCCGAGAGCTGCTTCCTGTGCTGTGCCCCCTTGGAACTTCTAATTTGCTAGAATCCCTATTCAAAGAACATTGTGCAATCATAACTAAGGTGCTCACATAATGAAGGAAGAGTTTCTCATTCTTCATGACATTTAAAGGTGGAACACAGAAATGATGCTGAAATGACTGGACTCCCCCCACCCCCACCTTGCCTTTAACTCTCTCCCCCAGTCAGAGCCTGACATTTAGTGCTAGGTGGATTTTTCTATTTTCTTCCACGAGCAGAGGCTAGACAAAAAGCCAATTGCTGTTGATTTGATTCCTGACTCATGGCGACCCCATGTGTGTCAAGGAGAACTGTGCTCCACAGGGTTTTCAATGGCTGATTTTTCAGAAGTAGATCACCAGGTGTTTCTTCTAAGGTGCCTCTGCATGGACTAGAACCTCCAACCTTTTGGTCAGCAGCTGATCTAGTTAAGTGCTTATACCACCCGGGGATTCCTAGGGGCTAGACAGTGAGGTTCCAAGAAAGCCAGAAGGTGAGGCGCCCAGGCTACGTGGGCCTGCCCAGAAGTCTGCCCCAGGGGCCAGCAGTCACATCTTGGAGCCCACCTATCACTCCACCTTCCTCATCCCCACCCAGACAGCCAATCCCCGGGGCCCCAGAGTCATCTGGGCTCTGGAATGCTCGCTGCATCTTGATGCAGGCACAGAAGGAATTCCCACTGTGTGAAGAGGTCAGCACCCTAGGTTTAGAAGCCTTTGACCAACAGCAAGAGGAACAGGGTCTAACCAGGAGTTAGGTACATGCTCTCCTGCTTGGCTGCTAACCATAAAGGTAGGCAGTTCGAATCTACCAGCCTCTCCTTGGAAACCCTATGATGCAGTTCTACTCTGTCCTATAGGGTCGCTATGAGTCGGAATCGACTCGATGACAACAGGTTTGGTTTTGGTTTGGCCCTGACCAAATACAGCAAAAGAAGGGTGAAACAAAACCAGCCTGGGGGTTTGAAAGGGGCTGAATTTGAATGCCCTGAGGCAGGGCATGAGTCCAGTTCACGTGGGCCCCACCAGCCCGCCAGTGTCTGTGAACCTGCTTAGATGAATCTGACCCTCACTGGGGAGAAACAGGACAGATGTGACGCCAGGCTCAGGGCTGCCCTCTCCTGGCCTGACCCCAAGGGCCACCCCTGATAGCAGTACCCGGGTCCAGGTAGCACAAGGCTGGGCCCTTGTGAGGCAACCTCAAACCTGGCACGGGATGTGCCACTGGGATGTTCTTGAGGGGCTAGCCCCTTGGATGAATGTGGCCCATTATCCTTCCCAACAGCCACAGAACCTCAGGGCTTCTTTTTAGCCCATCTAGGCCAAGAACCCAAAGCACGGACTTCTTTAGCAAAGGGCTTTTCTGGGCAGGCCTCTATGCTGTTCCGTAGGGACCTGCTCTCCCCACGGGAAGAGAGGGGCCCCCTTGGCCCTCTGGGACTCTGCTGTTCGTCTCTATGTCTGCACGCCAAAGTAAATTAGACTGCCCACCTAAGACGCCTACAGGGAGGCCACGGCTCCTTCCAGAGATTCAAGGTTGGCCTTTGATAAACACAGCAGGGAAGACTTGGCCCAAAACAAACCTCTGTGGTAGGGCATGCCCGTGACCTCAACTGTCACCCCAAGACATCTCTGCAAAGCTCAACATATACCCTTTTGATTTGCCCCAAATGAAAAACAAAAGAGCAGCCTAGTTGAGTGTCAGAAATTAATGAAGGAAGAAGACCATTGCTTGTGACTTATAATTGCTCTGTCTTTTATGTGTGACTACAGCCCAACGTTTTCAGCAGCAAAATGAAGGCTGGTCCTTCCCCCCAGCACGTGGCCAGCCACACTGTGCCCGTGACTGAGAAGAGCACTCGGGCCCACCTGCAGCGATGAGGATGTACGGGTCCTGCAGCAGGGTGGTTATCGGAGTCCCCTTCTGACTCTGTCAAGCAGAAAATAGGGTTAACGGAGGGCAGCGGACACTGCAGGGCCTCATCCCCCAGCTGCTTACCTCTGGCTGCACCCGAGACGGCTGGAGCACAAAGATCTGAATAGCTACAAGGAAAAAGACAATCCCCTTCTCAGAAAGGAGGCATGGCCCAAGCACGCCAATCACATATCCCACGGCCACGGCCAAGGTGCCACGTGGACTCACTCACCTCCATCCAAGAGCACCAAGGTGGCCAGCACCAGGAAAGGTGCCGTCTTCCCCACAAACTCGTACAGCACACTCCCAAAGGTGGGGCCCACTGCATGGAAAAGAAAGGGGGTCGGTGCCAGCCTCCAGGATTGACCTCCACCCATCAGTACTAGAATCACCCATTTGCTTCTTGCATTTCTACCCCAACTTCGTACCAAAGGCAATTCGGGGCAGTCCCCTTACATTCAGTTTGTGTTCAGTTGCCCTGGAAACTTCCTCAAAGTGGCTTTTACATCTTAGAAATGGGTAACAGTCTGTAAGGGTCACCCCAAAAGTAAAGGTCCATTTGCATAAACGAGAACTTCATTTCTTACGCTGTTGTTGTGTGCTGCTGAGTCAACTGTGACTCAGCAACCCTACATGGCAGAGGAGAACAGTCCCATAAGGTTTCCTAGGCTGAAATCTTTAGGTGTGCAAATTGCCAAGTCTTTTCTCCCACAGACCGGCTGGTGGGTTCGAACTGCTGTGACCTTTTGGTTAGCAGCTGAGCTCTTAACCACTGCGCCAGCGGTAAAAAACCCATTGCCATCAAGTTGATTCTGACTCATAGTGACCCTATAGGACAGAGAAGAATTGCCCCATAGGGTTTCCAAGGCTGTAATATCTTTACAGAAGCAAGCTATCACATCTTTCTCCCTCAGAGTGGCTGGTGGGTTTGAACCGCCAGTCTTCCAGTTAGCAGCCAAGGGTTTAACTACTGTGCCACCAGGGCTCCTTATGCACCAGAACACATAGGAATTGCCGGCTCCACAACGAAGGCCAGGAATGTAAAAGACAAAGGGAAAGAAAGGAGGGGGATCTCCTCTCAGGGAAGATACTGTCCCCTGGTCTGGGAGGCCCACCAGGACCGGGGAGGGGAGGCGGGGGGGAGATGGGGACAGGGAGACGCTGATGGTCGGAAGGTCCTCTCTGATCAGAGCTCACGGAATGTTAGGGATGAAATGGCCTCGCAGCCCATCCTGTTGAGTCCCCTTGTTTTACATCTAGGCCCAGGGAGATTTGGGGTTTGCTGGAGGTCACCCAGCCCAGGTTCTCCCAGTTTAGGACACGTTTCACCCTTTCTCAGAGGCTCCAGGGAAGTCGGAAACAAAGGAGGTAGCTGGGGCATCTGCCAGCATGAGTGTGGACTGGGCCTCACGGTGGCCAGGGTCGCTGGGTCCAACGCAGACAGGCGCCTCTCCCCACTCCCCTAGGCGCCCATCCTACCCACCTAACACCCCCATGGCCAGGCCTCCCAGGGCAATCCCCATGGCGTTGCCTCTCTCCTGGTCATCGGTGTACACGCTGGCAAGCATGCCCATCCCTAAAGAGGAGAAGAAACCGTCAGACCAACTCCGGGATACATAAGAACAATCCGAGACTCCTTCCCAAATCTGTCAAATTGACTAAAATGTAAGACCGAGCAGATTCCAAGAGGACCGTGGGTGCCTTCTCCCACAGCGCCGCCACCCCTACCCGCAATACCTTGATTCCTGAATGATTCCAGCTAATTCTGGAAGGGATAGGCCAACTAGGGCAGGGCTGGTGGCCCCCTCCGGCAGAGCGAAGCTCCCCGGATCACTGACTTACTCAGGGATCTCCATACCTACCAGCCACGGAGGAGCAGGAGGACCCGATGCCTTGCAGGGACCTGGCAATCAGCAGCAGCGCGTAGCTGCGGGAGAAGGCAAACACTGCGGGAGAAGAGGGCGCCATGTCAGGGCCATCCCAGGATGCTGCGAGCAAACCACTTCCAACTGGGCAACTTCTGGAGCCCTCCCCAACCCGACAGTGTTGTTTCAACCTTAACCACAGGGTGCTTTTGCTCTACTAAGACCTGCCTCCACAGACTTCCTTCTGCAGTTTTTACCAACACAAAAACACCGCAGGTTGTCTTCTTGATCCCTGGCTCCTGGTTGTTGGAGCCCATATGGACCCACACCCAAAAGGCAAACATCAGACACTTACTAATTGTTGAGATAAACATGATGCAGAATCCCGCAAACATTGGAATTGGGTAGCCGATTCTGCAAAACAGAACCACGAGGGAAATCTGGTCACTGCTGGGTATTTTTTGAGGCTTGATATTGACTCTCTCCTGCTTACCCTTTGGGACTAGGCGGATAAGTGTTTGGTCAACTTTTCTAAAAATTCATATACTTGGTGCTTCCTACGTGACCTTTTTTTGTTTGACTGTCTTGGAACATAAATACATTTATGGATTGCCACTCGGAACAGAAATTTCTCTAGAATAAATGTTAACACAATATTGGCAAGTAACCCAGAATACATCCAAAATACACGGTCCCTATTGCAGTCATTTTTTAAATTATTATTACAGTCTTTGCTAGAGTTTTCCTAAAGGGACCACTGCAATCAAATGATTCTGGTTAAAAGGCATCAAGTGGTGCCACTGGCAGCAGAGACGTTTGTACATCATCTAAGAGGCATTAGGAAGCAAGAATATTTTAAAATCTACCTTCATGTCGATCACAACCCAGCCAGCTGAGAAAGAGAGGCCTCGTTTTCTGTGCAAAAATGCAAACCCCTAATTGCTCCATTAGACCACTGTCCATGCAGGGTTCTCCCACCAGGCCTGCGAGGGGTGGTGGGAAGACCTGGCCTTCTGTACCACACACCTGGTTGGAAACCTGGCCCCACCACTTCATAGAGGCAAATCTCTTCTCAGCCTCATGGAGAGACCACCACCCATCTCCCAGGATTGAAATGAGTATAAAATGAGATATGGATGTGAAATTCCCTACCGTGGTGCCTGGAACATAGTACAAAATCAGTTGTCATCGAGTCACTTCCAATTCATGGTTACCCTATGGTGTCAACAGATGACTTCTCAGAAGTAGCTCCCCAGATCTTTCTTCTGAGGCACCTCCAGTGAACCTGAACCTCCAACCTTTCAGTTAGCAGCCAAGGATGTTAAACGTTTGCACTACCCAGGGACTCCAGAACATAGTAGATGCTTCAGAAATGTTGTTTTCTCCCTCATTCTCTCCCTTCTTTCCTCTCCGATTCTGCTGGTTTAAGTGGATGACTTCATTCCTGCTATACAGGTGAGCAAAAGGGTGCCACTGCCTGGCCCCCTGCCCTGAGTAGCCAACCCTGGCTGAGCACTTGTCCTATAATAGGCTTGCTCCAACCCAGAACAGCCCTGACCATCTCCAGACCTCTTCTCCCTCCAGCCCTAGACCCTCAAGAACCTGGAGAGGAACCAAATAAGCTGAGAAAGCACAAGGGCTGAGGTGTCTGGGGTCTCTGTCACTCAGCCTGGAAAGCCAGGCTCTAGTAAAAGTCATACTAAGAGCACTTTCATGTAAAGGTCACACTCAACTCTCCAACCACTTGCACCTAGCAGCTCAATGATTTTGTAAGGGCAGACAGTCACCTCCCCATTTTACAGATGAGGAAACTGAGGGACTTGTCAAACATCAATGAGCTAACTTCACTGGGGCCATTCCCTCCAGTCCAGGGCTTTTCCTTGCAAACTTTACCACCTCCCCAGGCAGCCAAAGGGCACACGGCCGTATGTGGCTTTAAACAGAACCTTTTCAAAAGTTCTCCTTGTCATACTCCTATTTTTTTTTAATCACTCCATGAGCATCCAGAAACCAAATACCAAAATATACAAATAGCATCTCAAAACTATGGCAGATACCCAGGCAGTCTCCCTCCCACAAATCCATGCAAAGATTCCTCTACTGTGGACTGAGATGAGCTTGTAGTTCACAAAGGTGGACTCAAAGCGAGTTAGGTAAACTAAGAAAGACACCGGGTTCTGAACCGCAATTTTCAAGTGGCAGCTTGTCAGTCTCAACCAGCCCCAAGCTGACTGGTCTGTGCTCCTTATTCACGTGAGTGAAAGACCGGATCTGAAGCCCCGTGGTCCCACCCTGCATTGCTGGAAACTTCCAGGAGACTCAGCGAAGAACCTTCAGGCACTTTCTTTTTCTGAGCTACTACAGCACGCCTCGTAAAAGAACAGGCGTATGACTTCAGGCTGCCCTGGCACAAACATGCGCCTCTCAGCCCTTTCAACATCATACTTGGAAAATGTAGTAGTTGAGACGCTAACATGTGTCAAAGTTGCTGGAATTAAAGGCTTACCTCTTCTGTCACTAACTCCTCATTTTGGTTATTTATTAAGGATCGAACACAAGCCCTTCTGGCTCCAGGGGCATCCCTGGATTCTGTAGCAAATAAAACATCTGTGTCCCTCACAGACTGCAGGCAGAAGCCCCGGGGAGTTTCAGGACAAAACTCGCTAGCTATGACAATCCCTGTCTGTGGCCCTCAAGCTGCCAGCAATGCTATACCCAGTCTGCAGCCTGGCCACTGGTCGGGAACTCAGCTGAGCACAGTACAAGTGGGCCAGAAGCCACTGAGAACCCTTCTTACCAGGAGACTCTGGAATTCTCCTTGGCTGTAAGTAGTGAACTGGCATCCGTGGTTACATGTGATTCTTACAATTCCATGAAGTAGCTGGTTTTATTCTCATTTCTCAGATGATGAGAGGATGACACTTGGGCACAGGGGAGTTAAGTAACTTGTCCAAAATTTGGGGACACGGGCACATCTTGAGTGTCTGAGCTCTGAGGTCCTGCCAGGCTACACTCTGGTGAGGAAGCCAGTCACAGGCACAGACTTCCCCAGGGGGTGAGTGAAAGGGAAGGTCACTTCCATTTAATACCAGATGGTTCCACGTCCACATGGCTGTGTGCTTACAAGGGTTGCTATTTCCCAAGGCAAGGGGCTGTGTTTTATTTAGAAGCACCACAGCACTGTTTAATTCCTTTGGGATTTTAGCAAAGCATGTATGGAATAACCAAATGGCAAAGCCAGAAGGAAGCTCAAAGATGGGCCAGCCCAACCCATCATCTTAGATGAGAAGCTGAGGTTCAAAGATGGAGTAGCTCACCCAGCGTCAAGGAGAAGCCCATTGCTGCGGAGACCACCAGGTTCACACCGCTTCCTCCTCGCTACTGGAACACACACGCGCCCTGCATTCTCCACACCAGCCAAGCTGCTGAGCCCACAGAGCTCAGCCCCAAGGCAGAGATCACCCGGAAGCTCCTGGGTCTCCACCATTAAACTCTCCTGACCCCTCTCCCACCCACCTTACGCAGGCTGTCCAATGCCTCAGGGTCAGTGAGTGATGGGCAGAATGCCAAGCCCTTTCTCCTACCCCACAATGTCTCCTAAATGAACAGAAACTCAAGACATTAGTCATAAACGTCTGAGTAGGCCCTCTTGTCTCAATTCTATGCCATCTCAAAGTCCTATTGCTAATCAGAGCTAGAGCTCATGTGGCAAGTCTATAATCAAATGTCTCATTATCATCACCTCATGAGTCATCCCGGCCCACGGCCATTCTCTATAGATCATGAGGGAACAGTTAAATCCATTTCAATAAGACTAAAAATGATACACTGAATCCCTAACAAAATGTGTAAAACAATAAAAGTGAGGTCAATTATAGACAGAAACCTGTGGGCGGGACTGCCTGGATTCTCCAGTCTTGAAAGTTTTCTGCCTTTGATGGGGTGCAGTCTCAACACTTTTCTATCGCTCTCTATTAGTGGAAAATATTTGCATTTTCCTTCTCTGACAGGTTTCCACCTTACACGGATTCTGGCTTTCACAGATGTTACTGTAAATACTCAATAGTTAGTGGAGAAACCCCACACATCCTTAAATTGTCACTGGCAATCACTACTTTTTCTCTAATGCTAATTACTAGTTTCTCTTTGACATAGAGACTAACGCAAGCTCATTTCCAGGCTTGCTAAGGCCACGGTTCCGTCTGCCGTGGTAAATGATAAAAGCAAGGACGAAGAGTAAGGAGTGGCGCAACGGTTAACTGCTGGGCTGCTAACCAAAAGGTCAGCAGTCAGCCGCTCCGCTGGAGAAAAGACCTGGCAATTGGCTCCCGTCAAGATTACAGTCTAGAAAATCCTGTGGGGCAGTTCTGCTCTGCCTTCTAGGGTTGATATGTGTCAGAATCGACTCGACAGCACACAGCAACAACAGAAAACCAACTATTGCCAGATGAGACGAGAGAGGATATTTGCCTTTTCAACTTTCTCAACACGCTACTAAAAGGGGGTGTGGTAACAATATCAGAAACGGGATGGCATTTTAAATTTGCTAAGACATAATACGAACGTTACTGTCAATCGTTTAGTAAATAAAACAAAATCCACGGGTCTGCCTTGTTTTTTTTCAGTTATTACAAGTGTACAGGGCTACGGAGTTCTTACAGCGCCGGGTGTAACCCCTATTCCCCGACACACGGCTCAAGGGGAGCCTTCGCTCCCCTAAGAAATGCACTAATTCCACTGTCAGTGTCCTCGGACTTCAGACTCGAAGACTCCCACTCTGCCTGCCACCCAAACGATGTCTAGGACCGGCAACCCTTCCAGTAGAGCTGGTTTCCCTGTCCACGGAGGAACTGCAAAGGTCACTGCTTATGTCTGCAGGCCCACTGCAGACCAAAGCTAGCTAACGCTAGAGAAAAAAGAACCACAGTGGATTCTGTAGCACCTTCATGCCCTGTGGCTTCCTCCTTATCGTTCAGATGTTAGCTAAGATTTGTGGGGAAAAATAACTGGCTTGCAAATATACTAGGTAACTATGGAAATAAATTAAGCCACAGACACTGGCTTGATAAAAAGCAGACCCTTGAGACAATGACAAGCTCAAGAGGAAGCCGAGGGAGCTGGCCCCAGCGTTGGCAGTTAACTCTTTCCCAAGCCAGCTGGTTTGTGGAATGTCTTCTGGATCTAAAGCTGCAACTACTATTTAAACCTTAGGCTGAGCAAGTGAAGGACATGATGCCACATTCTTAACCCGACTCATGGAAGAGAGAAAAGAAATGGAAAGGTTTGTTTCACACTGCTTGTCTGCCTAAAACATTCCTTTTACGTACATATGTGTAAAATTCACTTAGTAGGCCAAATGGTAACAGCTGTTGCTAATATAATTCCCTTTACCACCTTTTCTATGCAGCTGCAATCATGAAATGAAGAGTTAATCTGGAATTATAAAATAAGTCACGTGAACTTCGAAGTCAGCCAAGGGGCCATCAGGGTTTATAGTGTGTCACTGGACGCGTCACCATGCCCACCAAAAAGAACAGTCTCTGCTTCCCATCTGATCACACATTTTTCAGTAAAAATACAGTAACCGAAGAGTAACCGAAACAGGGATGACTTGTATTGTATTAAGCAGCCAAACGAACGCTTAAACTCTTCCCAAGAACTGTTATTGTGTATTTTCAGGGTTTTGCATGAGATCTTATCAAATATTTAAAATTTTATATTTGTATCCTACTGCCACGTGGCGGCACCGTGACCGGGATTATAGGGGTCCAAGTCGGTTGTGGGGTGTCTCATCTCAGAGTCTGGCTCCTTTAAGGCAAGAGGTTTTAAGTCAGCATGGCTCCAACCAGCCTGGCTCTAGGTGGCCAGCCACCCCAGGTTTCTTTGGGGTTACAGGGCATCTAACAAGCATTCCTTCCTCACACTGCCCGAAGCACTGCGAGATGTCAGAAAGCTGGACCAGGTGGAAAAAGATACTATTTTTCTGGGGGGTGGAGGGGGGGATCCACGTCCAAAGACCAGGCTGAATTTTTCCCTCTCCTGTCCACTGATTAAAAAGTACAATCAGTACTCACTGCTTGGGCTTTTAACTAGTTCAGCTGGGTACAAGCAGGGAAGAGTCCAGGCAGGTGCAGGAAAGACAGATTCGACCTGTGTTATTTCTTTGTAGTAGCTAAGAGTACAAGCTACACAACAGTAAGCAGGCAGAAAGAACAGGAAGAATGGAGTGTGAAACCCAGCGGGAGAGTCTGGACATCTGACTAGCCCAGTCGCCGCCAGGGCAAAAGTTTCCTCTTCCCTCAGCTGCAAACTCCTTTGCCTGTAAGATACTAGGACTAGCCCAAAAGCCTTTGTTAAAGTCTCTTCCAGCTCTAAAGCTCCCGTTTAATCCACGACACATATTAAATTAACCAGCTTCAAAATGCCGTTTTAATGCACTTGTTTACAACACTGAAACCGTGAGTCGTACATGATGACGTTCCTCACAGTTTATCTTGTTGGTAATTGAGGACATAATTGGCACAAATTATGTCAAAAGACTGTTCGCAATGGCTCACGAGGGACGATTCTGGAAAGGCAAGTGGGATGTGTTTGTCCTTTGTCTGCTACTGTTTCCATATGAACTGTGGAGGGAAGCAGAGCCTGTGGGGCACCGAGAAGAACTGAAAATTTCCAAATTCATTTCTACCCGGCTTGGAAAATCTTAGAAAAATTACAAATCATGAAAAGGTTGTAGGGACAACAGAGTTCGCGCAATTGTTCCGCCTACACCACATTAAAATTTGTTTGCATTTCCACATTGCAAAGCAGCATTCGGAGATGAAAGTCATTTTGAAATTTGCTGGGGAAACCAGTTGGGGATTAAATTTTTGCTCTAGGTAATTTTCAAAGTGGATTACTCTCCCTAAGGATAGACTAAATTTCACAGGTCACAAAGCAAAATTAGGTTTCTCCTAGAACACAATTTTTTGGAGCCCCAAACGTAAGCCTTGGGTAGCTACCCTGTCAGAGCGTTTGGGGTATTTAACAGGAGGAAGGTCTCACTGGTTTTAAACAAGCTGCTTCCCTGTGGCATAAGCAAAGCATTAAAAACAAGAATGAGGTTTCTTTTTTTAAAGCTTTACATTTTCTATTTGTATTTGGAAGGTTGGAATACTCCCATCATTTCAGCCAAGTTTCTAAGTATTACACTGTACAGCTAGTAACATTCAGGCGCAAGCGATTGGCAAGGCATTATTATGATAATGTCCTCAATTTTCGAGAGTAGTATTTGAGCTGATTGCTTTCTCAGAATACAAAACCCTGAGCCGTTTTCTGTAATTATACCAGATGCACTTTAAGAAGGGCTCTTCGTCTTGAAAAAAAAAACAGTCCTGCAACTACTGAGGTCTGTTTGGTTTCCTCCTGGAGAACACGGGAGCTGCCTATTGTCGCAGCGATAACGTTGCTTCTTGGTGGGCTCACAGCAGCCACGGCTGGGCTAATTTGCTTAGCATATGTTATGCTGCAGCCTCATGATCTTGCTCTACACCGAGAGGAGGGCCAGGCATAGTTTGGGATTGTTAAAACGGTTTCAGTGGCACTACTCAGTTCAGAAAATCAAACTGCAGAAGTTTCAAATGTGCTCCTATTTGACCATAGATGGGCAAGCAGCGACCTCCATGTTTCTAAGGACAAATCATGCCCTGGGTCTCTCTGAACCCTGCCACCACCCCAGACCCCCAGGGCCAGCTTCATGGGCATGCAACCTGTGCAGTCCAACAGGGTCCCACACTCAGAAGGACCCTGCACTTGGTTTAATGCTCTGCTGTCGCCATCTTGAAATTCTTAATAATACTTGAACAAGGGGCCCCACTTGTCATTTTGCACTGGGTCCCACAAACTATGTAGCCAGTCCTGCTACATAAGCCATGCCAAAGCCTGGGTTACTGCGAAGACGCCCCTGCTCCCAGCCTGCCCGGGATGCTGGGCTGACCCACTCAAAATCGCTCTTGGCTCACTTGATTCTTCAGCCTGGCTTGGAATCTCTAGTGGCACCCAACTGCCCCCATAACGGAACCCCACTCCTCTATCTAACTTGGGGCCTCCTATAGTCTAGTCCAGTCCCAGTCTCCCAACCCCTCCCCCCTCCTCCCTCCCACGTTCTCTTTTCTGTCCCTCATCTTTGTCTTTGTTCATGTTTCTGGACCCAGCTCACAGGCAGGACTCTTGCACTTCCTTCTCTTCTGTTTTTTGCATTTCTATATCTGGGGCTGCACTGTTTACACAGCAGTGTACCACCACCCACTCACAAGCACCAGCTCCCTCTCCTTGATCTGACATCTTCAGGGACTGCCTCCTTCCCTCAACTGCAAGCCTCCTGGAACGAAACCTTCCATCCTGTCCTGTGCTTTGAACCCCTACATACCAGGCAGAGCTAGGCCATCTTAGCTGTAGAAGGACAAATACTGGGTGGATGGTCACCAACACTGGGAAAGTGAATAATTATTTTTAAAAATCCAGAATATCCAGATTAATATAAAACTGGTTTGGGCAGTTTGAATGATGCAGACAATGGCCTCAGTTCTTCTGTCCTTTGTGCATCAGACACAGTTAAGTGACTGGCAGAAGGAGAGGAGCCATCACCCTGCACATGACCTCAGCATCAGGTAAGAGGTTCATCTACACACCAATATTACCCATCTTTTCAACGTTCCCCACCTGGCCATCTAATGGAGCCTTTAACACGCCAGCTCTCCAGGAAACCACCTGACTTTCTATAAGGGCGACCAGAAGGGGAAGAGAAGAGAAAGCTCCATGGCACATAAAATCTAATGACAGCCATGGCGTCTGTACAGTTCTTGTTCCCCAAGGTTATTTTGACAAAGGTACTTAGCAAACTCAGCATTTAGACAAAACCAGGTTCTCCCATTTGGGGAGGCCCTCTTTGTTCTGCCTTCTTTAATATTTTCTTACTTTTCAAGTAACAGAGGCAGGATTAAAATGTGGAATAAACTAGGAAATCATGATCAACTTAGGACAGAGACACCGGGAGGGGAGGCTGGTTTTCCCCCAACTCACCCACCACTGAGTCTCCAGATTCTGATAAATCAATGGGAAACAGAATCCCAGGGAGAAATGAGTTTGGAATGATATAAATACCAAGCTCTTGGACTACAGAAAGGTAACCTACCTGTTGGTCAGCAGTCCTATGAAAGGGTTGGTGAGGAGCTGGACCGTGGCTTTAGAGGCGAACAGCAGGCCGACCTGCACGTTTTCATTCAGGAGGTCTTGGTCTTCCTTGGGGCAGTCGGAAGGGGCAGTGGACGTGTTGGTCACCATGTGCTGAGTGGTGGTCTTATGTAGCTGCCCCAGCTCAGGGCCTCCGGTGGTGTTCCCGGTGACCATGGTGGAGTTGTCATAATAGGAGAAGATGCTTTGGAAGCTGCCCGTGGTAGAGGCCATGCGCCCTGGCTTGGCAGTCTGGGTTTCTGTAGCATTTTTCTCATGCTCAATGCTGTACAAGTAACTGGGGATGATGGGTACTAGGGACAAGGGCAGAACAGAAAGTGGTGATCACCCTGAAAGCCCCCCCAGGACAAAAGCCAGGAAGATACAGTCACATCAAATGTCCAACAAGGTCCAGAGAGGGGCATACGTACCCCAGAAATGGGACCTCTAGGTTGGCTACCGGTACTGACAGAGGGACAAGTTCACATTGCTTAGTTCACCAAACAGAACAAAACCCCCAGGGGCACTGAGAGTTCTGTCTAGTCTCAGAGGCAACTACTTTGCCAACTACTGCAGCCCCCCAGAGATTTTGTGTTTGTTTGTTTCATTTGTGCAGTTTCTCATTAGGGTTCCCTCAACAGGAATATTCCAGAAAGGCTAAGTGTGGTCTGAGGCCAAGTCAGTTCTGACCTGAGGTCAACCGGCACTTCTTGGAAAGAGAAGCTCAAAAGACACTTAAATGAATGAATCAAGGAAATACAAACAGAAATTTCATTATGTGTCTTAGAAAAATAATAACCTGCAGGAAGTAATAATTTGGAAATCCTGCAACAGTTCCCTTCATCTTTGTATTTCCTGAGTGGGAATCTGCATTTTTCATACAACCTGGAAGATTTAAGAATTCCTAAGACTTTCGAAAAGGAACAGTAAAATTTGTTTAATGTAATAGAAGCTCTGGGCACGTGTGTGACAACAGAATGTTCAGGACGAAGGAGAGGTGAGGCCATTGTCACTGAGCAAATAAGCCGTACAGCTCTGGACACGCCTTTCAGTGAAAACCTATTTGCTGCTCCGAAAACTGGTCCTAAGCACCCTACAGATGGAGAGAATGGATATAATTCTTAAAGTACAAACCCGTTTAAAGTCCAAATGAGAAATCATTTTTTTATTCATTAAAAATTGGGATATTTTTAAGCAAAAGAATATCAAACACATACTTATCTGTTCATGGAGCTCATTAAGACTTGGATTTCAACTATTTAGTTTTTCAAAAATCCATTATATGAAAAAGGTTGAAACCCACATTGTTCAAATTGCCCTTGAAATAGGTCCTAAAATGTTTTCATCTTAAGTCATTCACCCACAGAATATATTTAAATGTCACTTTTTTGCAGGGAGGGATGTTGGTTTGTTCCTTTGTTACACTGAATTAACCCACCTTTTGGGTTGCATGATAATCAGTATAACATTATTTGGAACTTTGGGAATTGCTCCTGCTTAACAGAAATCTTTTTCATAACAGTAAAGTGGGCAAGGGGAAGCAGAGAATTATCAAGAGGAAACATACATTCTGCGTCTTGTCGGATGTCACATTTTGACCTGACCACCAGGAAACGAAGCCACAAACGGGGCTCCTACAAGCCCAGCGCGGCAGCCTTCGGGTATGCATTTTTGCAGCTCGTGTTCAACTTTTACGAGCAGGCGCGGAGCTCCCGGAGCGCGCTCTGGGAAGGGGAGCGCCCGGGGAAGGGTGCCCGGCGACGCGGGGCAGCCAGCCAGTACCTACCCACAACGGTGAGCAGCATGTTGTCCAGCAGCAGCGCGATGAATACGATGAACAGGATGAGCTTCCGTGAGTGGCGGCTCTCCTGCACCCAGCGGAGCAGCGCCAGCTCGCTCAGGGCCATGGCTCCGGGGCTGGCTGCGGGCGCGGCACGCGGTGAGGGGCTGCAGTGGACCTGGCGACACCCTTCTGCCCGACTCCCAATACCCAGCCTTCGCCAGCTGCAGAAGGGACGGTCCGGGAGCACGCGCACGGGCGCCCGGAACGGCCCCGGCGCCCCACCCTCGGCTCACCTGTGCCGCGCGCGTCCTCACGAGCGCCGTCGGGGACCGAACCTGGGGCCCGTGAGGCGCTGCCTGGCTCTCGCCACCCACTAAGTGTCCCGCTTCTCCGCCTGATTCTTCAGCGCTCTCCAAAGCGCTGCGGCACCCCGCAGACTGCGCTCCCTGCGCCCGGCTTTTTGGAGCTACCCCGAAGACCCGCGCGAGGAGCTTTGGAGGCCCTCCCCGCCCTCCCCCAGCCCCACTCAGCCCCGCGCTCCCAGGCGAAGCCCTTCCTCCAGCGCTGTGCCTGGCCTGCAGGGCGCAGTGTCGGCGTTACCTGAGGTCGCCGGCCGCCGCGGCTGCTGGAGTCCTCTACGCCGGCACCACCTCCCGTCCGGGTGGCTCCGGGTCTCAGTCTCCGCCCCGAGCGCCCGGCCGCAAACGCTCTGTTTACGGGGTCCGGCCCTGACGTCACGGCCGGCGCGGAGCCGGGCGGGGGGCTGGGGCGCCCTGGCCTCTGCCCGCCCCCTGCCGTCGCTGCACCGGAGGCCACCGCCTCCTGTCCCTGCCCGCGTAGCAGCGGTGCCTCCACACTCACCCAGATCCAGCGCCTCCCTGCCCACTATGCGGCTGGGTCCCGGAGGCTGCTCCGTCCCGCGCCGTCCGGACTGCAGACCCTCTCCCGTCCCCGCGAGTGACTGTGCATCCTGGGAACCTGGGCCTGGGGTGAGGCGGCAGGGACGCAGAGAGAGTGGTCACAGGCCCCAAGACGAGGAAGCAGGGGTCCCTGGTGCAAGGTTCGGTGGCCGAGGTGAGAAGTCAGGGACCTGTGCGCTCTTCTGGCTCCAAGTCCCAGCTGGAGCAGTTTTGGGCCAGTCTTCTGGCCTTGAGGACATGAAGGTCACGGGGTGAGTGCGACAGGGCAAGGGGAGAGGATGCTGGGAGCCAAAGACAGCGCTTTGTTTCCTGGAGAGGCAGCCCTTCACACCGCAGCCCCCCTCCCCTACAGGCCTCACCCACCTCTGGTGCCTGATGCAGGGTGGCACTCCAGGACTTTCGGCCTAGGGGCCTCAGACACCCTCAAGCTGATGATGTGGAAATGGGGAAAGGAGAAGCCTCTCAGCATCACCCCACAGTGGGAGTAGGGGCAGGTGAGGGCCCCAAGCCCTTGAGTCCAGGTCTCAGAAAGCGAAAGCAATGGGCCTGGGGCTCTAGGGCCACCAGGAGCACCTCGCACCAATAGGGGGACACTGGAGGTTAAGTGAGCTCCTTGCACCTTAGGGACAGGCTCAGGGGACAATTGTTCCAGGCCCTGTGTGCTGCACACACCCCCAACCCCCCACCACCATGCTAGACCTAGTGGTGGAGGGGAGTCTGGTTTAAGAGATGTGGTTACGAGAGGCAGTAAACCATCTGTTTGTGGCTGATCCAGAGCTGTTATCCTTGGAAGAAAGGCCTGGCGATCTACTTCTGAAAAATCAGCCACTGAAAACCTTAAGGAGCACAGTTGTTCTCTGACACACATGGGATCTCCATGAGTGGGAATCGACTCCATGGAAACTGTTTTCAGTTTATAAACAGAAGAGAAACAAATAGATACCCTCTGTCAGCTGGAGCTTTGGAGGCCCTTCTAAGAGGCCTGAGGAACAGGAGCTATTTTCTTGGAAAGCTGCTTAGAATAAATGCTATCCTGTCGCAGCCCCTCCGCAGACCAGAGTCCGATCTTGTTTTATTAATGTGGGCTTGTTTTCAGCTGGAGATGACCGCTCAGAGTAGCGGCGCAATGTGTGGTGGCCTCCACCCTCACGCCTTCTCACTTCCTCCAGCAGCACATCACGCTTCCCATTGCTGCCCCTCATGTGTGAGAAAGATGGTTGCGTAAGTCAGTAGGTCAGTAACCCGGGGACTCCGGGATGTTCCGGGATGTGTGCAACTTAAATATTAAACAGGAAAGAGAGAAGGAAAACCACTTAGGAGGGGACAGCAGATGGCAGGGGGCTGTTGAAGATGACTGTGAGGGGTTTCACATTCGTAGAGTGACCCCTCAGGACCCAGTCCAACAGGGCCTCCCGCTGGAGTCTCAGAACCCAGAGACGCAAGCCCTGCCCAAGAGAGGCGTAATGGTGAAGGGCTCCTGTCAGGATGCTGCCACTTCCTTGCTCGGTGACCCTGGGCAGGTTGCTTATCCTTTCTGTGCCTCAGTTTCCACGTCTCTGAAGTGGGGATACAAATTGGACCAACTGCAGGATTGTTGTGAGGATGAAAGGGGAGTGCACAGGCACCATTTCGCACAGTGCCTGGCACAGAGGCGGAGCTCGGGAAGTGTTGGCCGTTCATTCTTCAGCGAATATTTGTGGAGAGCCTGCCGTGTCATAGATGTTGCGGAGACAGTAATGACCCAAACAGATGAAATCTCTGCCCTCAGGATGCTTACGTTCTGGTGTAACAACATCATAACAGTGGACATAGGAAGCCACACCAGAGCCCAGCCCAGCCAGCTGGCGGAAGATGGTGCCAGGGAAAATCCCACCTCCCGATCTCTGCCACCACCTCTGGAGCACCAGGGCCTACAGCAGGGTCTTCCAGCTTTTTGTTCACACATGCCCTAACAGAATTTTTTTAAATATGTATGTACTCCTCACATATTTTTAAGTTAGCATCTAAATTTTTTTTTACCATAAATTTAAATAGTTTGGGGGTATATTGTATATATAAAATTATTGTATATATGAATATATAATTATTATATTGCTCTTTTAAGCAGAATAATATAAATGTGATAAAACATAAACGTGAAGAAAATGCAACACCATTACACTCTTTAAAAATATGAACAAGTTATTCTTTTCAACAGTCTAAAATTTTGTATTGTTTCCTTTACGCCTTCAAAGTATATTTTCATTCCACTGCCAACAGAATTTTATCCTACTCCAGTATGCTTTTGGAGCTCTGGTGGCGAAATGGTTAAGAGCTCGGCTGCTCACCAAAAGGTCAGCAGTTAAAATCCACCAGTTGCTCCTTGGAAACCCTACGGGGCAGTTCTGACTCTGCCCTCTAGGGTCATTATGAGTCGGAATCGGCTCATAAGCATGGGTTTGGTTTATTTGTTTTTTTTCATAAGCTTTTAAAAGGAGCCAGATGGCCCAATTATTAAGCACTTGGCTGCTAATCAAAAGGTTGGTGGTTCGAACCCACCCAGCAGCTCTGCAGGACAAAAACCTGGTGATCTGCTCCCATAAAGATTACAGCCTAGGAAACCCTATGGAGGCAGTTCTCCTCTGCCCTATAGGGTCTCTGTGACTTGGAATCAAATTGACAGTACACAACAGCCAACACCGCACCACAATATGTTTTTGATCATTTAAATTCTTTATTCATCACCTTACCTATTATATGAACTGCAGCAAATATCTGAACACACTCAAACCAGAAAACCAAACTTACTGCCATCGAGTCAATTCCCACTCATAGCGGTCCTGTAGGACAGAGGAGAACCGTCCCACAGGGTTTCCAAGGTTGTAAATCTTTAAGGAAGCAGACTGCCACATCTTTCTCCCTCGGAGCCGCTAATGGTTTCAAACCACTGACCTTTCAATTAGCAGCCAAGCGCTTTAACCACTACGCCACCAGGGCTCCCTCTGAATACACTAATACATATTAAATTTTTAAGATTTCTCCTCACCATAAGGCTCTAAGTTTAAAATTTTTTTTTAGGATTGTGTTATTATAACAATTATCAATGATATACAATTGTTCAAGCACCATACATATAATAGGAATTGTTATAAATAATTTTTAGACATGAAAAAGGAAATCGTACTGGAAATGCATTTCCTAAGGAGATAGATGGGGAGCTTTTTGGAGCCTTGATTGAAGGCACTTTCTCAGACACAAATACTGTCTCGTTGTTTCGCACTCTGGATGCTTTTACACCTAGGACAATAAAACACAGCAATCTAATCCTTGCAGAGCGTCCAGCAGACGGTAGGTGCTCAGCTCTTTAAGGGCTCTTTGTGTTTGGAAAATTGAATGCACTGAATGCATGGAAAGTGTAGGTGGAAAAATCATCTGGTGTCCCCTTCCCCTCAGCTCCCAAGAACTTGGAACAGACTTATCCCCTGGGTGTTAAACTGAAATACAAATAATGGCTCAAAGCAGAGATGAACAAAGTGACCCTGAAGTAACACAATGGCACCTAGGTGAAAACATGGTGGAGTCTGACCTCCTCTAACTTCACAAGGGGGAAGGAGACTCCAGATCAACAGCCCAAGGTCGATTCCTTTGAGGTGGAGGTCATAGATGCCTCCTCTCTCCGCCGTCTTTACCAACTCTGACACCAACCATCCCTTCCACGGCACTCTACTTCTCTGCTGGCTTCGATAATTCATTGCAATGGCCACACAGAACTCACAGACCATACTCATGATTGTGGTGTTTATCAGGGAAGTAACAGGTTACAATTCAGGTTCAGGAACACTCAGGATACAGTTCTTCCATCAGGACAGCCTCTTTTCAGCTGTGTTCGCAGGCACACCTGTCTCTGGCCCTAGACCTCTGCCCTTCTTGGCAAGTGTTACGAAGCTCAATAAGTGACAAGTGTTACAAAGTGCCAATAAATCCTCAGAGGCGCTCCAGGCGCTCAGCTTTCTCGATCCGTGGGCCAGGAAGCTCACTGCTAGGTCTCCTGCCAATCTCTCCTGCCACTTCTTCTCTTCAGGGTTACAGCTTGCTCTCTTTCTCAGTCTTCTGGTTCCAGGAGCTTCTCAGCGCAGGGATGCCAGGTCCAAATGACATGCTGGCTCCTGGCTGCTCTTCCTTGGTAGTGATGGGATTCGCTCTTTCCCACCTCTGGGATGGCTCACCTCAA